GGGTCCCGCGCCTGGCCGCCCCGCCTTCCACGGAGGCCGCCCCGTCGTACCCGACTGGCCTCGGCGTCGTGTCCCCACGGAGGCCGCGCCGCTGTGTCCCCTCGGGCGGCGGGGAAGCCGGGCCCGCCCCGGCGTCTCCGAGTTGGCCTCCAGGTCCTCGCGGGTCGAAGCCCGGGCTTCCAGGGGCGCATTCGTGGCCGTGAGAGCGGCGGCCGTTGCATAACGTGCCCGTCCTGCGCCCCAGCCTAGCCGACTTTTCTGGAGGTTGTCTTTTCTGATGCAACTTTACTTGTAGTTAGTTCCGCGGCCGGACTCGGGAGATGCAGATTCCGATAAAATTCGCATTTTGGCAATCACTTCTGCTCCAGCCTTACTTCGGAACTTCAGGACGAGCGTCTGCCTCCGGGTGAAGCCTGGCCTGGGGTCGGGCAGGAGTGCCAGCTCGGAGCAGACCTTTCGTTTGTGGATTCCAAGTCCCCGGTGCCCTGGGGGTGGGGGAAGGGGAAGGCATACCCCCAAAGAAGGTAAAACGCACCGGACGGCGGTGTCACGGGTGTCCTGGGCTGCCGGCAGCATGTTCTGAGGCCCTCGAATGAGAAGTAGTCTTTGCAAGCATAACCGTGAAAGTACACTTTATTTGTAGATTTTATGTTGACAAAATTTTAAACAACAACTTTTACATTTTCACACCTATGTAGAATATAAGTGAGAGTGTTCTTAATGTAATAGTCATCTAGACTTTTAAAAATTATTTAACCTTGGCTATTAAACCAGGGAGTATACACTTGGCAAGTAAAAATTCAGTGGCCCATCAGCTCTCTTCCCAATGTATTCAGCAAATATGTACATTTTTAAAGGAAAGATTGCCCACATTTTACTAAGAAACTTGAATATACTGAAATTTGAATGGAAAGACAAAATGTGTGTGATCTTCGTACAGGTGTTCCGTTTAAATTTTGACTTAGTAGATGAGGGGCCTTCCCTTAGTAATGGAGAAAGTAACTCGTGGCTTATTATTAGGGAATTTGTACTAAATAGATCTTGCTCCATATTTTTCGTTGATTCTCAGCTTAAATCCCTGTGTGATGGATTACCATTTTTGAGTGCTAAATCAAAATACTAAGTTGCTTGGTATCTTCTAAGCTTTTTGTTTAGCAACTGTTGTAGTAAGGTGGTAACAGAAAAATCTTCCAAAAGAAGAATGCAGAGACTATTTAAGAAGGTCTGTTTTGAATTATAATTAACAAGACGCTGTTCAGCGTCTCATAAAATTTGGTCTCATTATCCAGGTATATAGAGCACTGTTTAATGAATACGACAGCATTCCCTTGAAATTAAAATTGCTGTACATTTAATAGATCTCACCATGTCAAGCAATTTAAAGTGGCATCCGAACAGAAGATGTCACGCGAGATTATTGAGGTGAATGAATTACTAGAATCACGGAATTTTAGAATTGAAGGGATTCTTTTAGCCTCTCCATCTGGTTTGAAAGTTTTGACTGAAGTGTAAATTGGAGCTGTACATATTTCTTTCTTTCCTTAGCAAATCACAGGGTTGGTGGGAGGGACTTCCCTTTGGTGGGAGGGGAATGTTTTTACAATAAGAAGCCTTGTTATTTTAAATGCTGTGTTGTGAATAGCCAGTCCTAGGCTCCTAAATCCCATTGTAGGGGGGTGGAGCGGTAGGGGAGGTGTTGAAGCTGATAAATTAACCATGAACACGCAGGAAGGATTTGGGGAAGCTTTGGAGCTGTTCTGCTTTGTATTGGAAAAACCAGACCAACACAGTTTTTGAAAAGCTGCTTTTATATTTTATTTCATGGTTATAATAATGTGAAACTTCTAAATAATATTCCTTACTGACTTTTTAAAAATAGTGGGCTTGAAGACATACAGAAGATAAATTTAGTGCATTTATTTTGTCTTAAATGTAATTCTGCTCTAAAAAGGATCAAAATATCCTGATAAACAGAATGAAGAGATTGGTCTTGATAATCCCTGAAGTGACTGACTTCCCGCTCAAAAAATTCTCATAATCTTCCTTTTTAAAAAGCCTGTTGCTCAGTAATTCCTCTGGACAGAACTGGGCCTTGCATGAGTCCAGGGGGTCACCATTCCCATTGTATGCTGAGTGGATGAGCTCTGGGAGGTGGAGCTTCCTCACACAGAGCACCTGTGAATTGCTCCCGAAGTTTGTCGGTGGCCTGCTTGGGCCACTAGGTGCACTAAGTATTAGTCAGCTGTTCTTTCAGTACTTTTAAGGCTAATGTTATTTGATTTACAGTTTCATTTTGAAAGTATTATTAAAATAATGTTGGAAATAGAGATAATGGTTATGATGCTAAAATTAGAATGGAAATTTTACACTGCTTAATGTTCTCATTCACTATATGAAAACTTTATGTTGCTTACCGTCTAGACTGTGTCAACCTACCTGTAACAAGTGATTTTTTTTTAAGTTAAATACTTTTTGTTCATGTGCCAGTATTTGACGTTCATAGGAATTTTTCTGGAGGACAAATGGAAAATCTCATATTTTGTAGCAGTGCTTTGTGTTTATTGTTAATTCATTGTGAAGATATTGCGGCATAGCGCAGATCCTATAGCCTCTAAATTAGGATGGTAAGGATCTTAAGAATGGAAGTTGACTTTTGAATGGAGTGGGCCTCTGTTTGGAGTATTGACCTTGCTGTCTCCAGGCTGTTGTCTTGAGCAGGAATGCTAAGGACTAGCATGTTCCATTACTAGTTAACTCCATCCTACCTCATGAATCTTACTCCTGTATTTTCATTAAATGTATCCAGACAGTACCTGCCCCCTCCCTAACATTATCTGCCTGTTCGTCTTTCTCTCCTATGTTTGAGCCTTTTCATGGGAAGTTCCAGACTCCAAGAATAGCTTCATACTTCCTCCATCAAATCATAGCCCTTAAGGCTTTCCAATTTTGGCGAAATGATCCTTTCTCTACGAGGCTTTCTCCAAACAGGCACGTGCACTGGAACTCTTTGGACAGGCACAATATTACCTCTTCCGTAGCAGGGTCTCTCAAATGGGATGGGTGTGCCTGCTCCCTTGCTGGGGTATATCCGAAACTTGGAGGGAGCAGGGCTTTCTCAAAGTTGAAAACCTCTGCTGGGGTGTGAAATTGAATAGGAGACCCATCCGCTTCAGCTGCCTGCTGTTAGGAATGCTGCAAAGAACGGATAATAAATTTATCTACAACCTGGTAACTCCATGTGGTAATCTTTTTTTTTTTTTTTTTTTTGAGGAAGATGAGCCCTGAGCTAACTTCCATGCCAATCCTCCTCTTTTTGCTGAGGAAGACTGGCCCTGAGCTAACATCCATGCCCATCTTCCTCCACTTTCTGTGGGACACCGCCACAGCATGGCCTGACAAGCAGTGCGTCGGTGTGTGCCCGGGATCCGAACCTGGGCCGCCAGCAGTGGTAGCGAGCACTTAACTGCTACACCATGGGGCCGGCCCCTTCCATGGGGTAATCTTGAGTACAGACTTCTCTGGGTCCACTTTTTATGCCATTATTCATAATGCCTACATATATATCATACAAATACCATGTACAAAGCTAATAGAGAATGAGGTGGTTTGTTTTTCTCCTAGATTATAAGTTTATTGACAGGTGAGACCCTGTTTTACCTGGATGAAGCCTCATAATGTCCAGCACAATATCTGGCACACACATGGCACTTGTAAACCCGCTGAAACCTTGTGATGGCTCTGTTTATTGGCAAGTTTTCCTGGATCCCCAGGGGAATGTAATCATTGATTTTCTCAAAGACCCTCATTAGGAGGGGTATTCCCTGTCTTGTGGTTTCTGGCCTGGGCGGTACTGGAGGGGCACAGCAGCATGGTGGTTTATGACTCTGACATTCAGCATATGGTTGGAGACCTGGCCCATCTAAGGGTATGATTTAAACAAAAACTGGAATTTTAGGTCCAAGAAATACTATTTTATAAAATACCAATGTGTGTCATTAGTGTGGGTCCTGTGAGACATGGGTTTGGTTGGTGTTTGATGTGTATTTGGCAGCCAGTGTGGGTTCATGAAGGACTAGGAGAAATTAGAATAAAAATTCTTGAACATCTGATAGCGTTTTCCAGGATTGGATTGAGAATTGGAACTGGGTTTGGTAGGGCCGAATTAGGGGATGCTTAGAACATTGCTCTCAGGTTAAGTTTTTACACAAGCCATGTATACTAAACATAGGATTTAGTGGTTGTCTCAGCTCCAGATTTGAAAATGGGGTGTTTTTCTTTTTTTGAGTTGTGTTGCAGTTTAAAATTCCAGTCTTGTAATTTCTTTTAAAGTATATTTAAGTCAATTGCTAAGGCCAAAGAAATTTCCAAAATTAAATTTACTTTGCTTGATACCCCCATTTTTTTAAAGTCCACATCCATGAGGCCTTAGGGTCGTATTTATAAAATTCTTGATGAAAGAAAATTTCCCATATGTTAACTTTTGTTAAAATGATATAGTAGTATGTCAGAGTAGTTCATTTCCACCTGCAATCCGAATTTGACTGATGAGTGTTCTCACGAAAAATTCTTTCAGAAATTCATAATTTGGCCGTGAAATCAACTGTGTTCAAACTAAAGCTTAGAAAATCCTTTCATTCTTTATGAAACTGAAGGA